AACATATTATATAAAAACAGAATTTACAATTGAACAGCAAATAGATGCTTTTAATACTTTATATGATCCAAATTTAGTTGAAGAAATCTTTCAACTTCCCACAACGTTGATAGTTTATTAAAAAATGAAAAATTTATTAAATTTATTCGATGGACAATAAATAATTTAAATAATTTTGAAGATAAAACAATAGAAAATATTCTTCAGATCGTTGAAAATATTTTACAAAAAATAAAAAATAATAATCTTAAATTTTTACAAATAGTTTTTTCTTACAAAAAAAGAACAAAATTAGATATTGAAAAACAAGAAATCGAAAAAGAAATTTCTTTAACAGAGTTATTATCAGCTGTAAAACTATGCATTAATTTATCTTCAGAGATAGGAAAAAGCATTTGAATTTTATATAAGTTTAATAAAATTAACACATCTTACAGAATTAAAAGATTTTCGAGGAGTTTCCGATGAAGAATTGAGCGAAGTAAATGCCAGTTGTAATGTCCCTACTTAAAAATTTATCAGAATCAGAACATATTTAAAAACTTGATAAAAGTTTACACAAATCAAGAAATACAATACCTTTAGTCTCGTCTAAAGTGAATGACTTGATTGATAATTACCAGAAAAATAGACAAGAAGCTGTTGAGTATTTAAGAAAAAAAAAATAACGAATATAAAAAGTCAGCAAAAAACTAATGTTATTTTTAAAGAGAAGAAAAATTCATTAAAATTATTTGATGAATTATTTTCTAATATTGTAAATCTCGATGATAATATTCGAATTCTTATAGCAAATAAATTAAGTCTAGTATTTTCTGATAAACAATTAAATTTTTGTCTTTTTATGAAGAAAATTTATCAAAGACTTGAAAAAAAGCTGTATGTGTTTACTTTAAAGAAAAACTTTCAATGAAATTATTATTAAAAGAAAAATTTGAAGAATTTTTTTAAATATTATAAACAAGATACAAATACTGAAGAAATTTTATCTGATTTAGTTGATATTTTAAATTTATATGAATCTAAATTAAATAATCATCTAGAAAAAACTATTAAAAATTTATCAACGATTCAAGATAAGAAAACATTAAGAGATTTAAAAGAAAATGTTTTAATTAATTTAATCGAATCTTACAGATTTTTTACTAAAAATGAACAAAATTCTATTAAAATAAATATGAATAAATTTGATTCTAATGAAGAAAAACATATAAAGAATTATGAAATTGTATTAGCTTTCCTAGATCAAGAATTAAAAGAAAAAACAAATTATGTTAAAAATATTTACGAAGGATTTTGTGAATATTTTAAAAAAACATTTCTATTTCAAATTTACAAAACAAAACAAATCAATTTAATAGTTTAATTCATTTAATGAAACTTATTAGTAGACCACATCAAGATAGTTTATATCTTCATGCTAATAATATTGATCATGCACAATTTCAAGTGATTTTACTTTTTATTTTATTTGAAAACAAAAACTTATTAAATAATATTAATAAGGAATTCATTGTGTTTTTATCTTGGTTATTTCAAATACTTTCAATATATGGATCGATAGAAAAAATTGAAGATATTAATATACAAATAAATCATATTGAACAATTACAGAAATTATCAATAAATGTAGACAAGTTATGTAAAAATAAATATAATAAGCAGTTCGATTCATATATAAATTTATAATTGAGCATCTCGATTTCTACTATTTATCAAGAAATTAAAAAAATATATGAAAATTGCATGTAAAAACTATTCAAATGCAAATTGGTTAGAAATAATTATTTATTTTTTGGACTATTTTAAAGAAAATACGAATGAAATGTTAAATCTTATTCCAAAAGAGCCAAACTCAATTAAAGATGATGAGCTTAAAAACATTCAACAGGTTATTTTTCAAAAAATTTCTTTACTATAAAAACAAAAATAAGAAAAAATTTTATCAATTAATATTAACAGATCAACAAAATAATTCTGTCAAAGTTTCAAAATCAATTAGAAAAAGGTTTTAAAGGATTAAATGGATATTTAAATGATGGAGAAAACTGTGATTCTTTTGAGAAAATAAATCCATATTATGTTTTAAGTTTTAATAGTTTAATTAATACATTTAATGATCGATTAGAAATTGATGATAGTCTTGTAATAAAAAAAGATATATTTATAAAAGTACAAAAAATGTTTATGTTGTTTTGAAGATATTCGTTTAGCCATTGAAAAATGATCATCTTCACCTCAAATTGAATGGTTAAAAACAATACTAATAGAACATATTATTGAAAAATATAGTTTAATATTTTCTCATGAAAATCAAATAGAAAATCTTCGAAATATTTTAATGCAAATAAATGTAAGATTATTAATTTTATTAAATAATATGTTTGTTAGTCAATATATTGATCAAATAAATCAAGCTATTCATAAAAATAGTAATATTATTCCTGATTATAAAAAAATTAATAAAGAAAAGTTTCTTACAATTGTAAATGTAATGAGAAAAATACCACTAACTTAAGAAATTTTAGAGCAATTATCTGATGCTTCATTTGCAATTTGGGATACACTTATATATGAAATAGAATTTTCTCAAATTTTTAATACAGAAACGAATAAATGTGGTATTGAAAATAATGATAAGTTTTTAAAATTTTTTCAGAATATTTCAGAAAAAAAAAGTAAAACCGAAGGAGAAAAAAAATATTTAACAGTTAAACGATCTATAAAACATTATGCATTATCAAGAAATATCTTTTAAACAAGCAAATATCATTATTCTAAAATCTGCTTATTTAAATTGGTATAAAGAAATAGAAAAAATACGTTTATCTCGTTATATCAATAATGATAAATCTGATCGTTCAGCAAACGAAATAATTGAACAAATGACTGAACAACAAAAGAATAGTACTAATGTTATTTCAACAGAAATTCTTAGAAAAATTGCTGAAGAAACAGTAATATTTCGAGAAGAAGCTAAGAAAATTAATATAAGAGAAGGAGATGAAAAATCTTATATTAATAAAAAAAAAATTCAAAATATATTTAATCTTTCACCTTATCAAAATAATCCTGAAGAATATATTCGATCTTATTTAAACGAAATTATTCCATTAATACTTTATACTTGGTCAATTGCTAATAAACCTCAATTTCCAAAAAATAATCAAATAATTGCTTTATTACTTTTTATTTATAGTTATGAAAAGGTTTAATTGAACAAGTTCGAACAGGTGAAGGTAAAACTCTCATTGTAGGATTGACTGCTGTATTTTTCGCTTTATGTGGAAATGCTGTTGATATTGTTTCGAGTAATCGTAATTTGGCCATAGAGGGAGAGAAGAAATGTCGTTCGTTTGGGTGTGGGTGTCTCTATTGTTCTCCTTCTACACTCACACCCACACCCTAGATGAGATAAGTAATTAAACTCGTTGGAGCTATTGAATTTGGAAGTAGGCTAGTTTCCAAGAGAGACAAACACTTTTAATAGGAAAGGCATTATGAAATTGATTTCAGCATACCAAGAATAAGTTACCATTTTAATCTCGACTACAAGAGGTTGAAAGTGTCAACGAACATATACTCATATAAATACTTACACATTTTATCAGAAAGTTTCCTTATTATTTCTCAACAAATATTTAATTATTCGGTTAGAAATTAAATGTGTTACTGCAATGATAACGTGCGAAATTTTCATCATGACTTTCTCTCATGTCGATATTGTAGTGCTTACGATAACGCCTCGATTGAACCAGTCATAAGGGGACTATCATTCTACTAAGTCGAAGCAACACGATCACATTTCCACAGATTATGAATGACTGCCTCAAAACCTAAATCAATGTTGTGGAACTTCAAGTAAACGAAATGAAACAAAAAGTAGTGTAAGATTTTTTATTCTCAATTAGTTTACATAAACAAAAAAAAAAACAACAAGAATCTTCATTTATCTAGTTCATTGTTTTTCATCGATCCAAAAAGACATTGAAAAAAAATACCGATTATTAATTTGACATATAAAATTATTTGCAGTTTTGGTTTTCAAACGGCAACTGTGTTTCTTTAACCATTCATGCGTCACTTTAATTTTATGACTCTTCTCAAGATGATTACTGCCAATAAAAAATGAACCACTAATTATACTCTTGAAATGTTCAATAAGAAATACAATTTGATGTTTCGAATTAATCGAAGCAGTTAATCGTTCGACACATGGAAAAACTTTATTCCAATTGAATTTATCTTTTCCTTTATATTCTCCATATTGTGGTAACGATAGTTTTCGAATTTGTGGTAATGAGATATCAGGGAAATAATATTTATGTGATTCACTGGGATAGTTACAAATTAAACGAAGATGATTAACAGAAGGCATTGCTTTTTTAATAACTAGCACAATTTTGAGTAACGACCATTCAGATGTTTTCACAACTAATAATTGTACTTTTGATAAATCAACGATATTCACCTTGGTATAAGGATCATCAAGAATAAGCTCTTTAACATGATTGTAACGAAAGGGTAAGTTCCATTGATCTGTTTGAAATCTTAATTGAGTAATACGATCATAAAACACATGATGTTGTTCAAGAGGTAATGTTGTACAATCAGATGAGATTGGAGGAGATGAATCACTGATTGTAGTTGGAGCAAAACAAGGTACTGTAAAGAGAAGTGAACCACCTAAACCAATAGCCACAAACCATTTTTTATTAATCCAAAATGGAGAACGAAATGGATCAAGTATTTTTTCATCGATGTCAATCGAAGAGAATTTAAAATCAAATGTCTTTAATTTTGGTAAATATTTGACAAGAAATTTTTCCCATCCTTGAGCATTAAGAAATGGATGTTGAACACCACCGTGAACAATTAATTCTAATTGTCGTAAACATTGTAATGAAGACAACAAACTTTCGAAATAATCGCGTGTTACGAATTCACCTGAAATGAAAAAAAGTAAGGCTCTTTTTATATTAGAATTTCAGTGCTTACCAGGCATATGAACAGACAATGACAAAGAAACAAGAGCAAGTGTTGTTGATCGACCCTGATGAATACGAGTAAATATATGGATTTCTTCAGGTTCAAATAATAGCAATGACGTCTTTAGTGTAGTAAGCTGAGGAGCATGATGAAAGAGATATTGCAATAATATAACAGGACAGTCAAGCAATGATACATGACGTAGTTGTTCAACTGAAATGTTATTGATTCGTCTTAGCACATCGAAGTGTACATCTGATGGAGTATTAATAATGAGTTTTTTCAATGATGGTCCAGTTTTAATCGATGGAAAATCAATTCCAACATCGATTTCCAAAGAAACAAGATTTGGAATTTTATACAGATAAGAGCATAATAAATGATCGTCGCCGTTTGGTTCAATTAATTTTAATGCTTGTAAACGAGTAAATTGTTGAATTGAAAAACGAGATAGAAATAATTTTGATTGATGAGGTGTTTCACTATCATCGGACAAAATTAATGAAATTACTTGTTCTGGTCGAATAAGACGGCATACAAGATCAAAATCAGATTTACGAATTGATTGAAAATTAATTGAATAATTTTTGTAGTTTAATAGAATATGATCGAGACGGTCACTTATGTTATAAAATAAGTGAAGAATTTCATGAGCCAATAGGTACTTAAAAATTTCATGAAGAATTTCGATTTGAAATCGATCGAGAAAGAAAGGCATGATGATCTAGACAATAAGAAGTTATTGCACAGTGAAATTTAAAAAAAAAGAATCATGCGACTATTAAACAAAACATATATATAGCCAGTGAATGATATAAACAGATGGAATGTGCAAAGCTGCCGACTTTCATAACCAATCAAAATAGCTATCTATGAAGAGAGAAAAAAATTCATTCATTTTTTGTCAGCTTAGGTAGGTGTTAGGTCACAGATTGAATAATATGATTTTTATCGATTCTTTAATGAATGAAATGAAACAAAGAACTATCTTTCAAGATCATCTGTATTCGATATGACAAGTGACTAAATTTAAAAGCAAATAATTATTCGAATTAGAACGAAAATTTTCTTCAAATATGTATGTATCATGATTGCGTCGAATTGAAATAACAAGGTATCTTAGTTTCACCGAAAAGCAAGTGAATGTAAGATTACTTACCTTTTCTCGTCGTTTTTATGTAGTTGAATTTGGATTTGGTATCAAAAGCGTCGCATTAAGTATTAAAAAAAACTTACAAATCTATCATATAATGCAAATATCAAAGTAAACACTAAAGAATCTAGTTCAATGTAATGAAAATCAAAAACGAGATGTATATATCTGTGTACAGATACACATTTAAAAGATTATTATCATCATTTCCATATAAAAAAAAGAAGCTGAGAAATAGGTTTGTACGATTTCCAGTCATTCGACAGACTCTTAATCGTGAACGTTTCAGAATTCTAGATAGTTGATCATATCTGTAACTGATGAAAGTTTCTTGCATGAATCAAAACATAAAATTGTGCATTATGCTTCAAGAATAACAATGATTTCGTGCTTTACTTATAAAATCGAACTTAGGAAACTTGATAGAACTCTTCTTGTTACTAAATAATTAAGTTATACTAGACCGTGGTAAATCCGACATCCTATGAAATCTGTACATGTAAGTAACTAAATAGTAAATTATTTTGTAATTCATTTACGTCATGCGTTGTATATCATTGGATTTCACACAGCTTACGTAATCAAAATTGAGGGTGTGGGTGTGGATGTGGAGTGGGTGTATGGGTGTGGGTGTGTGGGTGTGGGTGTGTGGGTGTGGGTGAATGTGGGTGTGTATGTAAATCTTCTCTTTAGCAACACCCATACCCACACCCTTAGATAGTCATTAAATTTTTAAAACCAAAAGTAAACTTTTGAGTTTTATATTTAATCAAAAAGTTGTTTCTTTTTTAAAATTCGATTGTTTACTAATTATATATTGATAAATCATTATTATTTCATTTGTGCACATAATCTTCTAGCTATGTTTGGCATTTCTTATTTTTTATTACTATATTTATTAGAACCATTGAAATTGTTTGTCAAATGGATTGATGTACAAGTATTAAAAAAAAAAAAAGAAAATGTATTTAAGTATGTTACCAAATAATCGTTCACATGCAATATATATATGGGCTGTCGATGTAATCCTTTATATTAAAATGATCAAACATCTATCAGAAATGAATTTTATGCTTGATATTGAACCAACTTGTTTATTTTATTTGATATTTATTTGTGATATATTTCATATGTTCTCTCTTGTTAAATCTAACTGAATTGTCATTGATATTTCATCGAAATAAAAGAAAACAAAAGAATAATGTCAAAGCCAATATGAGAGATGATTTTGTACTTTCTTTTTTTCTTATAAGTTCTACAAAAAAAAAAAAAGTTTAGAACAATATGACATATATCTTGTGAAAATCATCATATTGTCGAGAGTTTTTTTTAAAAAGAAAAAATATAATCATTCAAACGGGTTTGGTGGAAAACGCAGAAAAAAAATGTCGAATAGGAATATATCGAAAGGAAAACGTCGAAAGTAAAGTGTCGAAGAGAAAAGTAAGAGGAATTTTGTCCTTTCGACGTTTTTCTTTCGATATTTTCCTATTCGACATTTTTTTTTCTGCGTTTTCCACCAAACCCCGGGGTAATTGGAAATCAATTTTATATTTTTTTTTTGTTACTTTTAATTAGCATAACCTATTTATAGTTACGGCCTTGGCAAAGAATTTTGGGACAATCAAAAATTGCTCCCCAAAATTTCAATATCTCATTCGAATTAAACTTCATACATGTGGTCAATATGCTTGTGGGTTCAGTTTTGATATTATGACGTACAAACGCAAAATTTTTGTTTTTAATGTAAAAAATTAAAGAGAACAAGAATTGTCCAGCAGCAACTTATAATCTGAGCTAAATGCATCGGACGTTGGCACCAAATGGTGTTCGAGTAAAATGTGACATTCATATTGTGTTTTTTTTCGCTTTTAAACTATTTTCTCTCAGAAATTGTGGACAATAATACACGGATTCTGTGCGATATTCTGTGAAATTTTTAGGTCGATTTGTTGTAACTCTTTCGAAGTTTTGACCAAGAAAGCTATTACGCTGAAGACTGAAAGTAACGGTAATATGATCGCAATTTGTGAAGAGCTCAATGAACTTTCATCAAGTTTTTAGTCCCAATAGGTACATACAAGAACTACATAATGGTTAGTTTCTCGACCCATAATGAGCTTCTATTCTTGAATTATAAGGCTGGTAATAGTATGAGTTACTGCTCATCATAGCTTCTCTCCAACTCAATCTATAAAGGTCAGATTCATGTCGCTGATCTACATATATTATGTAGTATATGTACACAAATTTTCAGTCTTACATCTCTTATAGTGACTAAAACATGAGGCGAATACTTTCGACCAGCTGAATGTGAGTGTAGGTGTTGATTTTCTCTTCATCCACACTCACACCCACACCCGACTTTTTCTATCTTCATTAATAAATGTATGAGATTTTTATATACTTGATGTATTAAAATAAAACAATCCATTGATTTGTTGAACTTTTCGGTAACCATATGCGTTATGTTTGACCAGATGTTGGATCTTGTAACACTAGTACAGTATATATATTTGGACCAAGAAAATAAGAATGATTAAATAATGCTTCAATATCATTACACGGCTGCATTCATTTACTATTTTGTCGAATTGCTACTTTTCTACCTTGACTATAAAGATTAGGTACAAGTTTATAATGTAAATTAACCCACGATCGATAAATATTCGTTGTTTCATTATAAAATTTCCATGGATAAAATTCACTACCGCCACCATTTTCTATAAATGAACTTAATGCATCATAGGTATTCAACGAAGAAATAATTCTTTTGTACGACCTAATTTACCAGCTTTTGGATCAGTTCGATAATTACCAATATTTGAACCAAAACAAACATAACCACGACGATCGATTTCAAGCATATAACGAAGAGCTATTTTTAGTCCATCATATGTACCATCTTCATCACCAAGCTAACCCATAAAAACAATATCATGTGGACTATAATTAACATAAGTATCAACTGAACGTGACATAATTAAAGCATCTGAACCAATTAATTGACGTAAAACTTGAAATATGTCATTATAATAAGTTGTAAGATAACGTTGCCATGTTACACGAGGATCAAGTACTTCAATTATAAATGAATAAGTACCATCAGCCTATAATAAAAAAAAGAACAATAAATATAAATTAACTCATTTGTATTTGATCAAATCATATATTTTTTTTAAATGTCCGTTCAGTGGTGATAGATTGTATATGAGTGAAAGTAACGAAAATAGAACATCTCTATTTTGAATTTGACTTTGATTCTTTATAATGATTATTGATTTGAATAAATTCTTTTCATAAGAATGTATGGAAAAATCGATCGAAAAGTCTCTGCAATTCTTGTTTTCATGGTAACTTTACTGCTGTCTTTCATTTGAAGAGCACTATTTTCGAACAGTCATCATTAGTGTGGATACCTGCGGCAGCGAAATTACTAAGAATTGTCGTAACACTTTCTTCTTTTCTTTCGAAAAACATAATGAAACAATTTACCATATTATGAAATTTTTATTTCGCTAAATATTGTTACATATGCGAAAAAACTTTTGTATCTTCCAATCTCGATAACCTCATCGTGTCCCCAAAACAATTTTTTTCTACAAATCTACTGGTGTCTTAGAACGAGCACTTCTCTTTCGACTTCTTACACAGTTAGAAAAGGAATTTTCGTTTATTCATTTAGATGTTTTCTAATTTGAAAAATTCCGAAATATTCAGCATATATTTATTAAATAAATATTAGTTGAAATTTTCTGAATTCAGAAATATTCAGCATATATTTATTAAATAAATATTAGTTGAAATTTTCTGAATTCAGAAATATAAGCAATTTTATAGATTTTTCTAGTAAAGCTAGAATTTATACGTTTGTACTTTTGAAGTATACATGCACAGATATTCATATATGACATGATGTTATGTTCTATGTCACCAGGTTTTTCTTTTCATATCGAACATGTTCATAGTTTAAATGCATGAATAGGCTCAACAGTATCAATAAGTTGTTTTATTTAACTATGCCACCAATAAACAGCTTTTACATTAAAATAATTTAATAAACGTCCTTATCCAAACACGATTTAATTGTTTTATTAAATAAATAACAATTTCCCCTGTGCATATTTATAAGTAGGTGAATCAATATTAATCATTGATGTCATTCATAAGACAATACGATATTTTTGTCACGAAATCCATCAAGCATATTTCGTACTGTTGGAAATTTATTCGGATCAAATATAAATGTATTAATACATATATTCTTCGCTACTTAGAATCCTTTAAACTACTGAACGCTCCTTTTCATACAGGTTTTATTTATCCGAAAATTTCCCCATAGACATATTCTTCTTTCGACATTTTGTCCTTCTTTCTTTCGATAATTTCTGTACCAGTCAACTAACTTGTCCAGATTTCCATCTTTTTCCTGAGAAAGCGACTTAATCATGAAAAAGGGCTGCAGGCCAATGGTATTCATGATTCTCATAAAATCACCATGAAATTTCAAGTAGAATCTTGGCAACACACGCGAGTATCATGACAAAATTGTGTATCAATCTGACTTTTAAATCCTTGCAAAATCCGATCCATGATTCAATCATAATCCTAAACACTTTATAGCTATTCGAGACTTGAGAATATTCGAGATCAGCTCTGGTGATTGTGAACAATTGTTTATCTTATGTTAGCTACAGGTTAGCACTCTAACAAAAATCCTCATTTAGACCATTCTGTCCTAGATAAAACAGTGGAGTGCATCATTGTATGAAGGTCTTAGTTAGCATCTGACTATATGTTTAAACAATGACGGAAAATGTCTAATCAGATACCTGACGAAATCGAGTTTTAGCAGCCTACCTAAGTAGTAGCGATAGTTATTAGGAATTCCGGCAGTATCCTGTGAAAACTTTGAGAAGATCCTTTCGGTCCTCGCTTTAAAAGGATCTTCAAGGACTTTTTATTGAATGAAGAGGCTTAAGACAAGAGTTACTATTGTCACATCATAACATCATGATAATTCACCGCATAATAATAGTAATGAATGACTGTAAACGATAACTAAGACTAAACTCGGTAACACAATAAAGATGCTCAAAGCCGAAAGCTGTGGATGACCTGTCTTTAGTTATAAATGCAAAGTATTAAAAAAGCTCTAGAAGCAAGCATTTTCTATCCAGTAGAGGATAATAGCTCCCACATTGATTAAAGTCACATTCAAACTAGGAAAATGTATGGAATAAGTCATGAAGCACCATCTAATGAATTTGCCTCGAGATGTTACCGACATGACGCCACTACATCTAGATATCTAGCGAAGACTACGAGAAACACCAATACCCACGCCACGAGTACAGTCCTAGAACTACTACAAGATGAACAGTATCGGGCCGATTGTTTCAACTAGTCCGTAGTTGATGACGAGTTCTTCACACTTCGTTGTGATGCCTATGCATCGTTATCGATACCCAGATATAATCTATGAAAGTTTATCAGGAAAAAAATTATATATTCAAGCAAGAACATTGCGCCCACCTGTTATATAGTGTACGACGAGTTGTGAGCATCGACCTTATATCCTCGATGAACTTTTATGCAGCTACCCGTATACAGAAAATCAACAATTATGGCTAACACCATAATATCGCAACTGATGATTCTGGGCTACTGCCATTATATCGCAATTCACGACCCGAGGGTACACTGTTATATAGTAGTTAATGACCTAGGGATGCTTCCATTATATAGTATTTGGTGACCCTAGCATACACCCGTTATATGGTAGTTAAGGATCCAAGGGTACCTCCATTATTTACTTTCACAGGAAAAAGTGCACTTTAACTTTAAAAAGTTTAAAGTTAAAGTGCCACCCCTAAAAAAGAATTTACTTAGTATTATGAAGAAATAACTTAGAGAGATTCAGAAAATAACTAGTACTTTTAATTTCTATAAGTTATCCTCGTCCTTATGCGGTACTGTAAAGTGATTGAATCATATGTTTGTAAACAGAGGTTTGTGAGAAACGAAATAGGAACCAAGATTCTGTTAAGCATGTGACCAATTTTACATTGCAACTAATTGTTGTTCGAGGAAGTCTTGCTTTCTCGTTTGAATTTGATAGGATTCAATTCTGGAATAGGTTTTTCTCTCTCGGCTAGTGCTCGTCGGGTGCAAAGTTCTCGGATTAGGATCGGTTCGAAGCGTGCTTTGATACTTTCAATAGAATTTCCTAATCAGAATAGAAAAACACTTCTGAAGATGCGAGAGGCTTTTGTTCGGCTTTTTGTATTTGGTGACTAGTGCGCCCTACATATTTCTGAGACAGTTATGTGAGAAATGTTTATGGTAGAGTCCATCGAGTCCAACATTTTCAGATCTAGACCTGGGCTCGTTCGCCATCAATCCGACGAGCTCTATCTGGCATTATGGATGAAACTGGTGAAAAATGAAGTTACTATGTACAGATTACAAACGATACTTAAAACACCATAAATCCATACATCTCTAATTGGATACCGTAAACGAACAATTATTCATTCTAGAAGCCAATCCTGGTGTTTTTGTCTTTAATTAGACAAAAAATAAAGTTTATTTCACTAGGTTCTATAAAAAAAACTGTTAATAACTAAGTAAGATTATGTCAAAAAGAAACAACCTAATCTGTGCAATAAAGGAAAAAAATGAAAAAATTTTCATGAAACTAAAATGGTTACTCCATGTACATCTCTTTCTAAATTGTTCACATAATCAACTAATGGTTTATATTTAAGAAGTACATTTCGTAGATTTTCATGTTCACTAATGTTTGTATGAAGAATCGTATATAAATGGCCATAGAGATGAGCATCAGCTTTTGTAAAACTGGAAAAACAAAACAATTATTACATAGGAATTTGTATGAATTTTCATTTTGGATACATACTTATTACCAAGTAAATAACCTGAATTCATTTCTTGAATTTTATTTGAAAGTGCTCTAACAGTTGTTTCAAATTTAATTAAAGCCTAAAATTAAATTATTTTAGTTCCTTGTTTTTTCTATATTCGATGGATATATACTTGTTCATAAGACAATGGCCAAATTTCTTTTACTTTTAAATTTTTTATTGTACGATTTCGATATATTAAAAATAGTATCAAACCAAGAGGCCATGGATAGACAGACGTAAATGATTGATATACAGTCTAATTGTATATATATAACAACAAGATAGAATAAAATTATATTTCAATTTTTTATTCATACTAACCGGTCCAGCTTTTTCACATAGTAAAAAATATTTCTAAAAAAACATAACTAAAAATTTTTATTGAATCAAAAAAACAAAAATAAATAATATTACAAACCATTAAACCTCCAAGTATTTCAGTACATAAAATAGAATAACTATCCACTATTGTATTTTCTTCATTTTCTACTTTAAGTAATCCCTATTAATAGATTCATAGTAGTAAAATAAAATTTTAGTTTTTTAAATTTAATCGAATTTACTTTAAGTTCAATGAAATTAGCTATTTCATCAAATTCACTAAGTATGTGATTATTTAATGTTAACACTGGTGGAATGCCTTGATATTAATAAAAAATCAATATAGTAATTAAAATATAAAGTAAATCCTCTCATACAGAATAAAAAGCCATGAGCTTTCTAAAAGCTTGTATCAGAAATCCACTGAATTTTTTTTAATGAGATCATAATTGAACAATTTATTGTACTGAAGAATACGTCACAAAAATGGCAAGTGATACGGCTTGAAGAAATGAATTTGTTTTTTTTTTATAAAAACACATCTATAGATGATGATGAACTATCTGACAAGGAAATTGAATACATTGAGAGAAAAATGAATTATGAAAAAAGGTCAAGATGTATTATCGTGTTGACAAAAGCATTCATGTATGTATTCACAGTTATGACATCTGACTCTAACGTTGTATTATTTCAGCGTCATCAACGACAAGCGAATGTATATTTTGTTGAATTTTAAATGATCTCCTTTTTTTTTTATTGATGTTTGTGGGAGAAACTAAATAGTATACTTTTTCATATAAAATAAAAGTTTACTAAGTCTGAAAAAGTATCTGCCATATGTCGATTAGCTCTGATTGCGAAAAGTCATATTCATGTAGAACACTAGTCTTATAACTCAAGAATATTGAACATATTCGTATCAAATTAAAGATCTTACTGACAATCTAACAAAGTAAATAATGTGACGTGTTTATGACCTAGATAGATTGAGATATTTGATTTTTAAGGCATTTCGAATGTAAACCAGGTATCAACAATTCAACAGGATTTATTTTTCTCTTTCTTTTTCATAATTGAATAGAACTCTTCGAGTTATACATGAAAAATTTAATAGAAAAGTTCACAATATCATTAATGCAAAATATAATGATACATAGAACTGAACTTCTAACTTTCATAAACGTTCTTTTTCTATATGTACAACAAACTCTTTCGTATGTAACTCGACGAGCTCTATGCAACTAGAGAGAAAGAGAAAAAAATAAATCCTATTGCAATGTCAAAAGTTTGGCTATACACAGTCTATACGTAAAAATTTGAATATTTCAGTTTGCATACATCATAATCAGCTTCTATTTTGAAAATGAGATCATTAATTTGATTCGAATGCATTCAATGTTCTTTAATTACATTACACATCCATCAATAGAAAGTCATGGTCTTTTATTCTTGAATGGTAAAGTTTATTCATTTACTTACCACAATTCGACATTTCAGCAGCATTTCGAACATGTTCAACATGTAAAGACGGTACACGTACTTTACGTAATAAACATAATGAGCTTAAACAATCAGGTGCCCAAAGAATCATTTGTTCTTTAAGTGGTACATAGAGACAAGCATTTGTTGGCCATGGTTCACGAGCTAACATAATTTATATACACTAGACAAAAATAAAATTTCTGTAAATATAATCTACCTGCTAATTCAATATTAACATTTGTTGTATTTGTATTAACATCCGAATGATTATAATCATCTGTTTCAGCCATAAACTAAATATCTAAAAGAAAAAAAAAGAAAGAACTCGAATAATAATTCATACAAAATGGTAGGTATTAATTATTAGATTTCGAGAGAATCGTTCAGAAAAGAAGCAATACAAAATATACAAGAAAATCAGAAAAAAAAATATATGTCAGTAGTTTATTCTTCCGATGAAACAATCAATGACCAAGCTTTTCTAGTTGTTCCAAGTGCAATTTTCCCAACTCCATAAGCAACTGTACCAATGCCACAAGCAGTAGCAATAACAGCTGTTTTAGCCATTGTTGTAGCAGCAACAGTTGTTGTACTTGTTGCTGCTATTGTACCCATATGTGCTATGGTTTTAACTAAACCAACAGAAAGTGCATGTTGAATAGGTTGAGAATTAAAAATTTTCGAAATTCGTCCTTCTTCATTTCTCATTGATGATTGTTGTGGTGATGCTACAACCATAACAACTTGATTTCCAACATGTGTTTCATGTCTATCAATATCAACAATTACTGGTTCATCATAATCATCATCAGTATCATCATCGATAATTTCTTCATCTTGGTTGTCATCGTTACGTGAGACACAAATAGTTCTTTCAATACGATGAGAAAAATTATCTGGTATTGATTCATTAATATTAATAAGATTAGATTTTAATAAATCAATATCATATTTTAATTTATGAAGAATATTTTCATTATTTGTTTGAAGATTTTCAATTTGATTTTGTTTTTCTTTTATTTCATTTGATATATTTGATGTTATAGAATCAATTTCATGCATACGATCTTTATAAGTTTTATCAATTAATGAATACATTTTCTTTTGCCATGTTTTTAATTGTATAATAGCATCTAATTTAATGCTATCAACATCAATATGATTAAGTTCTTCTTCTAATTCTAAAATAGAAATTTGTTCCATCTAAAAAACAGAAACAACGAAAAATTTATTCAAATATTTTTATGTTGCATATTAATATAGTTGAAATAAAATCAATTATCATTTTTTTTACATTCTCTTGATTTAACTATATGATTTTACATATTTATCTGAATATATTTTAAGATCTTAATAAAAAAAAATTTTTTCTATAATATTATTATTTGTTCTATATGATTTTCTATTATCACTAATAAAACATTTTTAAATTAAGAAAATTAAAGATATAACTATAATAGTGATTTTTTTATCAAAATGAAATTTGTTTGTTATTTTGTTAATTGGATTGAAATTTTTTGTAAAATTATAATAAAATTGAATATGATAGCCTACAATTGTGAGTTAAAATATTTGTATAATTTACGTTATGTTTTATCACGAAATTTTCGTACATGAGTAATACTTTGTCGATTATAAACTGTAATTAATGTAAAACTATTGCGATAATTATAAACTTGCACATCATAAATATAATTTAGTTTAAAAATAAAACATTGAATATTCATCATAATAACTTACTATTATTTTTCATCATAAAAATTTAAAATCTATCATAGAATTGTACGAAACAATAGGAATTCTTTTTTTTCTATACCAAACAATTTTCATAGTTAATGTAGCAGAAAATAATAAAATTCTGTTACTAAAAATGATCTATTGTTTTTCTAAAAATAATAAAGAAAATATCGATTGAAAGATGAAGATTGTTGAGAAAGTTTATCATAGTTTATTTCGTCATATTTACGTTGTGTGGAAATAAAGCACGTGTGTATATGAAAGGAAATACTCAATAGAATACAATTATGATTGGTAGAAATATAAACTAATCATAAAAAAAATAAACCGAGAGAGATATATACGTGAAAAAGAATATTTATTCACTAGGTCATATAAATAATTACAGGTAATTAAAAATATTTTTTTCTTTTTTTTTTGATTAAGATGATTTTTTATTATAGAATAATTTGTTTTTCACGAGAAACACTATTTGTCTCTTTGTTAATGTTGAGAAATAATTCATTTGAAGAAGATACTATTTAAAATTTTTTTATTAATTGATTTTAATTTATTTTCAAATCTAATTCATAGATAGAATATTATTAGAAATTATTTTTCAATGTTTATTAAATATAAACATTTAAATCTTCTTATTATTAGATTGTTTACTAAAGAAAACGATTACATATCAAAATAATAATTTACTATTATAAAGAAGTGTTTAGTTTTTTTTCATCGATCATTGATTATAATTGAATTGTGAATTAGAATTATTCGAAATTTAGTTTTTCTTAGTTTATAAGAATTATAATATTACACACACTAAATAATAGATTATTTATCTTGATTAAATTTATTATTAAAAAATAAATAAATAATTGTTATAAAATGAATATAGTTAAATATAAATTTTAGTAGTTATTTATAATGAGAAAAAATAAACAAGAGTATATAATATATGTCGGAGTTACTTTTTTTTAAAATTAACTCGTTGACGTTTAAATGTAGAAACAATAAAATTTTTATGCACTAATCGAAAATAAATGATTGTGAGCATAGTCCTTTACTGATTGAATCTACATCGGTTGAATTCTGCCAGAAGTTTCTTTATCAGACAGTGCACAGTTATACTAAGCCTATCTGTATCAAAATTCTGACTACAAAATCACCTGTAAAATTTATATAAGAAAATTTTGATGACTTGAAAATTATTTATTCTCGATTAAAGTGTATGAAAAATTTTTATGTTTCTACATTTTAAGCTCAACTCTGATATATGAATATATATATTACTAAATTAAACATAAGGATAAACATATGCTGGACTATATTGCATATGTTGTTGATGATATTGTTGTCTATGATGTTGTTGACGATATTCATGTCTCTGAACATATGCTGCTCTATTCATTGTAACAGATGGTTGATAAGCAACTAAAGGTGTTATTGGTAATTGAGTTGGATATTGTAAAAACATATTTGCATGTTGTTGCCATTGATTTGCTGCCCATTGTTGATGTGCTTGTAATTGTTCTCTATTACGCTGTTGTAAAGCTAGAAGTTGTTGTTGTGTTTTCCATGCTAATTCATTATATGTTCCTGATGGTTGTTCAACAATATATTCTTGGTTTAAATCATTAATAGAATTTCGTCGTTGAACATTAACTGGTATTGGTACACGTGATGAATTTGATTGAAATTCAGCTGAATGACGACGTTGTCGTTGAGTATGCGTAGCAGCTGTTTGAAATTCTGCTGAAACTGGATTTTCAACAACACGTTGATAAATAACTTCACGTGGTGGTGCTGGTTTATAAGGTAACCATTTTTCAATAATTACTGGTTGAGGCTTTGGAGGTAACTAGAAAAAAAATTATTGATTATTAAATATTAATTTAAGTAAATAATGTTTACTGGTGGATTATGTTCGATAATGACACGTGGTGCTGATGGAGGTTCAGGAGGTAAAATTTTAGTTATAATTGTTGGTTCTTGTTGTGGAGGTGGTGGTGGTGGAGCTTCGCGAAGAATAAGAGGTGGAGGAGTTGCTGGTGGTGGTTCTTGATATTTGATTACAACTGGAGGAGGTGTTGGTGCACGTGGAGGAACTACTTCTAAAAAGAAAAATGTAAATAAATGAATGTTTTGTTTTTCTTTGTATATGAGAATACTTTTTTACCTCGAATAATTAATGGTCCAGGTGGAGGAGGTGTTGGTGGAACAAGATATCGAACAGAAACATTTTGTTGATAAGTTATTTCATCTGAATTTGGTTTTCTAATCATTTGAGGATTTGGATCATTATTTAAATCAGGATAATTTTGAATTAATTGTTGATATTCTGATAGAATACGTTGATCATCTTGATTTGTTTGTTGTGATGATACTACTTGATTAAATTCATTTGTTGGATATTGTTCACGAATAGTAACACGAGGTTTTGTTTGTGAATTTCCATTATTATTATTATTAGATTTTTTAAGAATTGATGTTAATGATGATGTTGATAATGATCGTTCATAATTAGAAGAACCATTAGTTTTTGATTCGATTCCATTTGATAAAGACTGATTTGATGTTGTATTCATTGTATTCATTTGATCATAACCATGAGTTTGTTTTACATCATTTTGATAATAACTTTCATTCATCATTTGTTCTTTTGGTAATACGTTAGTTGAAACTAAATTATCAATATATAGCTTCGATTTATATTCACGTTTTGGCCCATATTTCGTCGTTTCTTTATTTGTACTCTTTATGATATTATGTTGATTCAATGATGCAGAACGTTGATAATATTTTTCGAGATACCATCTTTGAAAATAATCATCATTAATATGCGAACGCCAAACATTCTTAAGTGGTCCATGTGCACCCCCCATTTTTAATACGATATCTAATAGAGCACTAACATTTTTTGTATTGGAATTCGTTGAAGAACGCATAAATGGACTATTTACATTATAACCAATATCTTGAACGATTTTAGTTAAATTAAATATATGTCCATCGATTTTTTTCGATTGAATATTTATAGGAACATTCGAAGATTTAAATGAATTTTGACTATTTATATCAAATATTTGATTAGAATAAAAATGATGCAATGAAGATGGTTCGATTTGAGTACGAATTGCTCGATATTGATCATTACTTGAATGACTTCGATAATGAGTTGTCTAAAAAAAGTATGAAAATAAACAAGTCAAAGATGTTTTTTTTTATCAAGATAAAAAAAAGTTGTTTTTAATATAAATTATTAATCAAAGAGTTTAACTTATGTATTTCTTAAGAATATCAAAGAATTAAACTTAAATGATGACTTACTATATTTGTTTGTCTCCGTTCATGATCATGTTGTAATGCATTTTGAATAGCTGTAAAATTATTATAATGTGGTTCTTCATCGATTAAATCGGTATATGGAAAGAAAACTTCATTTCTTTCCACAAAACTTTCATCATTAAGTTGTCTAGTTACCATAGCAAAGAAATTTTAATTTGTGCTTCCAATATGTATAACAAGTCTTCTTTTATACTTTGATATATAAGTGGAAACACATGAATGA